CAATCTTGGCTCACTGCAACTTCCACCTCCTGGGTTCAAGCAATTCTCCTGCCTCAGCCTCCCGAGTAGCTGGGACTACAGGCGCCCACCACCACACCTGGCTAATTTTTATATTTTTAGTAGAGATGGGGTTTCACCATATAGGTCAGGCTGATCTCAAACTCCTGACCTCAGGTGAGCCACTGCACCTGGCCTCTAATCTTATAATTCATTTGTTAGTCCTACAAAGGCAGACTGGTCCTCATGCAAGAAGGGGCTTTATCTCAGGAAAGGGCTGTTATCATCTTTGTTTTGAAGTTAAACTACAAATTCCTCCCAAAGTTAGTTTGGCCTACACCCAGGAATGAACAAGGACAGCTTAGAGGTTAAAAGCAAGAAGGAGTCGGTTAGATCAGATCTCTGTCACTGTTATAATTTTCTCAGATCTCTTTCACTGTTATAATTTTCTCAGTTAAAATTATTGCAAAGGGGGTTTCAATTAGTTGCAGACTGCAGATCTAGGTTTCTACAGCTCCCTTTGCAAGTCCTTCTTAGGTAGATTATCACCTTTCTTTGTAATGTGAGAGCTGTTGTCACTGATGATACAGGTCCTCAGCTAAAACTAAGAGTCCTATTTTACATGTTGTTTTGCTTTAGTATTTATCTCTTGGTGAATACATATACTTTTAACTCTAAGACAAGAAGGAGTTGGGCTTCAACTTTCCACTTCAAAACTTTTGAACCTATCTTTGTTCTCCCCTCTCAGTTTTACATCTCTTGAACAATCAGTGCAACAAGCATCTCGATTGTAATCACATTGAGAATAAGTGGGCGTGACGTTCAGTTTTCACTTGCTAATTTTAGTCCTTTGAGTTCTGGCCCAAAGGAAGGGAACAGACCAATCAGCATATAGATCAAAAATCAACATGAGAAAGCTCACCAGCCCAGAAAGCAAAGAAAAGTTTTCATTTTTCTGTTGTGATAATACAATATTTCTTGCTTTTGCCTTTGTTGTTCAACATCTATAAAATGTGATGATGAAAAGAAAGAGGTGAAAGTGAATGATTTAGGTTCTAGTCTGGGTTTTGTCACTCACTGGGTGATCTGACCAGTCTTCTCCAATGCTGTTTCATCATCTGTAAAATAAGAGGTTACACCAGTTCCAATATTATATTATTCTACCTGAAGTGATTATTAATAGTATATAGAATAATTCTACTGCTTATGTGTTTGAAATTGGTTTTGATACCAATGGTTAAGTAGTAATGATTCTGACCCTCATCATGAACACTTCAGTGGGCTTCATTCTTCAAAAAGAAAATGTCATATTTAAGTATTTTTAATTTTACGTATTTCTGTAAATTATAGTTTAATTAAGGTTTCCTTAGAGAACAGAAGACGGAATCCCAGAATTTGGAAAACAACTTTTTAAAACCTCTTTCCTGATCTTGTTAGAAATTCAGTAAGGCAGGGAGGGCTGCCTGCCCACCTGTGGCTGTGGAGTCAGATGCATAGAGCCAATACTCAGATGTTAATCTCTTTAGAAGATTATTATTCTTATTTTTTATTTCTAGTTTTTTAGATGGAGTTTCACTCTTGTTGCCCAGGCTGGAGTGCAATGGCGCGATCTCAGCTCACTGCAACCTCTGCCTCCTGGTTTCAAGTAAATTTCGCGCCACTGCACTCCAGCCTGGGCGACAGAGCGAGACTCCGTCTCAAAAAAAAAAAACAAAAACAAAAAACAAACAAACAAAAAAAACATAGCAGCCCAGATCCCTGAGTCACTATAGGAGAGCTCCAAGGAGAACTGACTCACTGAGTAAGACTTAGACAAGAGTCATAAATAAGTTTATTGGATTAAGCCTGAGATTTGAGGGTGTACTTGTTATTGCTGTATAGCCTATATTATCCTAATACCAAAACATTATTCCAAATCATAAACACAAATATTTCTTGATCTGAAGTCAATTGGGATTCAACTGTTTCAAATTACCTACAACACAAATTAGACATTATACAGGAACTAGCAAAACCTTACTTCTTTACTATAAATATCATTTATAGTCAACTAATAATAGATAAGAAAATAGCCAATAAATCAGAGGAATTTACAAAATGCACAGAGATTTTGTTTTGTTTTGTTTTGTTTTACTACTTACAAGCACCTTCCAGATAGTAGTCACCCAAAGTTTAATTTTAAAAATACTTTTTGGGCCAGGCGTGGTGGCTTACATCTGTAATCCCAGCACTTTGGGAGGCTGAGGTGGGCGGATCACGAGGTCAGGAGATAAAGACCAACCTGGCTAACACGGTGAAACCCCATCTCTACTAAAAATACGAAAAATTAGCCGGGCGTGGTGGCAGGCGCCTGTAGTCCCAGCTACTCGGGAGGCTTAGGCAGGAGACTGGCGTGAACCCAGAAGGCAGAGCTTGCAATGAGCCGAGATCGCGCCACTGCACTCCAGCCTGAGCAACAGAGCGAGACTCCGTCTCAAAATTAAAAAAAAAATACTAATTGTGGCTAGGTATGGTGGCTCACACCTGTAATCCCAGCACTTTGAGAGGCTGAGGCAGGTGAATTGCTTGAGCTCAGAGGTTCAAGACGAGTCTAGGCAACATGGTGAAACCCTGTCTCTACCAAAAATACAAAAATTAGGCGGGCATGGTGGTGCATGCTCCCCAGCTACTTGGGAGGCTGAGGCATGAGAATCACTTGAGCCCAGGAAGCGGAGGTTGCGGTGAGCCGAGATCATGCTGCTACACTCCAGCCTGGGTGATAGAGTAAGACCTGTCTCAAAAAATAAAATAAAAATAAAAAATAAAAAAATTCTGATTTTAAGTAACACTGAAAAATTATTCCTAACAAATGTTCTGCACCTTATCAGACCCTGGCTTATTTTGCCACATAGGATTAGTGCTAATTAGGTTCCAGCACAAACAGGTGTTTTTTTAAAGCCTCCAGTCCTGGTGTTGTGGGAGGTAGAGAATGTCATCTCTCTCTGGGTCATCCGAATGGTTCTTAAAGGCTTCCTTTCACGTAAGATGTGAGCTTGGCATTCTATTTAGCTAGTGAGTTGGGGATGAATGGACATTTTTCCTCTAAGCCTTGAAAGTTTAATCCATTCTGTGCAAGATAAATCTCAGCAGGCATTTGGGGAAAGTTGAATTTACTGAGAGGTTCATATGTGGTATATTATTTCTGTCAAATAGAAGATACTAGCTGCCAATGGGGTTATAAAAGCAACTGCCTGGTCAGGATTTGTGCTGATCACTATGTTTATCACCCTCATGAGTAACTCCTAGTTCTCAAGTCATTGTTTATCCACATACATTTTTCAGACACATTCATTAGCATGAGGAATGTTTGATATCAACATCAATTGTGTTAAATCTCAGATCTGCTATCCCAAACACATCAGGCAACACTATTGAAATGCTGAAGGCTTTATATAAAATCATGAATACTGTTGTCTAACTAATATATCCTTGAGAAACACAAAGGATATTATTAACTGTGTATCTTTACTTATCCAAACCATTTTAATAGAGTAGATAAATTAATTAAAGGAATGGCAAACACCATTTTTGTTAATAGATTTGCATCTTTCCTATCAGCATAACAAATTTTTTCATGATATTCCAAAGAATAATTTAGCCTATTATGTAATTTTCAAAAATTATCTAGAACAATTTTTAGGCATCAAAATTCCCTTTGAAGTTTTGTTGATATTGAGCTAAACTTGTTTTCTCTGTTAATCATACACATCTCCTACTCATATCACCCACAGCACACTCAGTAAATATACTCCATGTCCATTGAGCAAAATGCACTTCCTATTTAAACTAAAGAGAGAAACCCATATGTGAGCAAGTTTCTTAATTCATGTTTTTTACTTGATTTTCTTTGTGGTTACTGTTTAACTTTCTTTAGGTCTTATTCTTTCAGATGTGATTAGATTTGTGACTAACGATACTAATACCATGTGTATATCCTGAAGTTGAGGCTTAGACACATTAGGAGAAACTTTCCTAATCTTCTCCTAAATTTTGGAATAGAAACTCACCACCCCCTTCTCAGACCTCCCTTCCCCATCTATGCCTCTATTATGGGCTGCCATATTTTGAGTTTCTTGACATCAAAAGCTATGGATTATTCATCTGAAATTTCCATATGTGCAGCCAGCATGTAATACAAAGTGGGTCCTCAAAAAATTTTGAACCATCTGAATTATCTGCTCCTAGAAGGCACTTCAAATCATGGAATATTATTAATTTTTAGACTATTTTATATCAAAATATAACAAACATGCTGAAAAACACACACAGCATAAATTTAATGACTTAGAAAGAACCTCCATGTAACCACTGCCAGATCAAAATGTGGAACATTGCCTGCACCTCAGAAGCCCCCCTCGAGTCTTCCCGTGAATACTGTGTTCCCAAAGGTAATGACTATCCTGACTTCTAACCCTGTAATCTCATTTTTCTTGTCTAAAAACTGAAATAAATGGGCTCATACTGTATTTATTCTATTATGCCTGGGTTCTTTCACTCCACATTATGATTGTGAGGTTCAGCCAGGTTGTTGCCTGTAGCTCTAGTTTGGCCATTGTCATTGCTGTGTAATATTCCATTTTAAGAATATACTGCAATTTATTTTTCCATTATAATGTTGATAGACATTAGGTTGTTTATGGTGAAGTCCAAATGTGCACATTTTCTAGTTATGTGGCAAATATCTGTAGCTTGCCTTGAAAGCAAATAATTTTTCATACATGTTTCTTGACAAAATGCAAGGCATTCTGCCCAACCCTGTAAGGTTGTACATATGGAGTGCTACTGTTGAGCTTTTTTGTCAGCTACTGGGACAAAAATAAATTCTACCTAGGGTGAGAGATGTTTGACCAGACTTTGTGAGTATGTTTGTGTGTAAGAGGAAATGGGGTGAGAAGAGGGTGGAGAGCTGTAAAAGAACACCATTATCCCCAAACCACTGGACAGATTAAAAATGATTTAATATTATAACACCGATGAGCAAGTTTCTTAATCCACAAATATTCTTGACTGCCTTATACGTGCCAGGTATTGTCATGACCACAGAATATACAATGGTGAAGGCACGCACACAGACCCTGGAAGCTTGGGTCTGGTTCTGTGAAATGAATCAATAGAAATGAAACCAAGTGAGATATATCAGCCACAGAAAGACAAATACTGCCCAATTCCACTTTACATGAGGCATCCAAAAGAGTCAAATTTGTAGAATCCAAGAGTAGAATGGCAGTTACCAGGAGCTGGGGGAAGGGGGAAATGGAGAGTTACTGACAAAAAGACATGAAGTTTCAGTCAGGCAAGGTGAACGGACTCTAGAGATCAGCTGTACAGTATGGTACCTGTAGTCAGCAATAATGTATGGTTGACTCAAAAAGTTGTTAGGAGGGTAGATTTCATGTTAAGTGTCCTTACCAAAATAAAATAGAAAAAAAAATTTCAACCAAATTTGCTCTACTGTTAAAATTAGTTTATTGAAATAGAAGAGTTGGTGCCATGTTGATATATTAATAAGGGAAGAGAGGGATTCACAGCTTGAAAGGTGGGATTCTAGGTCATTCTACAGGAAGGGTTCCCCTTGTTGTTGCCACTGTTTCTGTTGTGTTTGTTGCCAGAATTGAGTCTTCACTTTGAAGAGTTCATAAGGCACCCTTTGCTGCTTTGTCTGGTTTATCAAGAAAGTGGCTGTGCAGTTGACAGAGCGGGTAAAAAGACCTGAAAGGAGAATTAAGTCAGGATGATACACAGATTCTAGTGATCCAAAGAATGAGTTCACTCTTCAGTAGAAGCTAGAGAATCCATATCCTCCATAGTATAATGGTCAGCAGCAGCTATATCCACAGCCTCCATAGCCACAGCCATAGCCTAGCCTGCGGAAGCTGCCACAACCACAGCCATAGCCATAGACCCAGCCACCAAAGCCTCCAGAACCACATCCCAGGCCTCCATAATAGCTGCTGTAGTAGCTCATGGTTCAGCAACTGTAGATGTATTTGGAGGTCAAGGGCAAGTTTCCTGAGTACAACTATCACCAGCTTCCCTGGGACTTTTGTACATCCTCAGTGATGGGTAGGGTAGACTTCTCATGGTGAAGATTCAATTGCCTGAAAAAAATCTCATTCATCTTAAAACTGTAGGACAATTCCTGAAACTAAGTAAAGATGTCTTCATTTGATTTCTGGATGATTTGGATTCCACAGGGTGGTTATGCTGTCTTCAAAGCCCTCCTGCTTTGACCATCATAGTTAAAGCTCTATAATCAGACATAAGAGCAGCAGTCAGCTTCAATTTTGTCACGTAAAATTGTTCTTTCATTACAGCCCCTTCCCAGTATCTGATTCTTAATGTATTCCTTTCACAAATATTTAATGCCCAACTAATGCATCCCAGGCACTATGCTCAAAGCTAGGGATACAACTGTAAATAAGAACTGCCCTTCCCAATCCCATGAGTTTTGCCCCTTCATCTTTGTTATTTAAGTTATTGAAGTAATAGAAGAGGTACACTTACTGTATAAATCCAACAAAATGTAACCAACAGCACAATAAGATCACATTTATTTTTTTAGGAGAGAGAAAAAAACCCAAATGGCAAAATTTTGTTTCCTTACACATTACTACCCTTTTACTCAATGTTGTTTATGAAACTTTTGATGGCTCTTAGCTCTTACTGCAAGATTTTTTCCCATTATTCAGTGTTTATATAGGAAATACCACTGGGGGCAAGAGCTGTGGGTGTGATTTTTGCAAAGTAATACCATATTCTTCATCTTTGTAATCTTCTTCTTTTTTAAAAATAAACTTTTAAGGCCAGGCGCGGTGGCTGAAGCCTGTAATCCCAGCACTTTGGGAGGCCGAGATGGGCGGATCATGAGGTCAGGAGATCGAGACCATCCTTGCTAACATGGTGAAACCCCGTCTCTACTAAAAAATACAAAAAAAATTACTGGGGCCAGGTGGCAGGCGCCTGTAGTCCCAGCTACTCGGGAGGCTGAGGCAGGAGAATGGCGTGAACCCGGGAGGCGGAGCTTGCAGTGAGCCAAGATGGCGCCACTGCACTCCAGCCTGGGCGACAGAGACTCTGTTTCAAAAAACAAAACAAAACAAAAAAAACAAAACAAACAAAAAAACAAAAGAAAAATGGTGGTAGACCTGGGTTGTTTAAATGTGTTTTATTTATTTTAAAATTTCTTCTTTCCTTTAGGAAGCAGAGGTCTACTCTTCTGAGCAAGATAATTCTGAAGGTAAATTTAACGTCTGATGCAGTTTAACACTTACGCAGGGAAATATTTTTCTACTCTCATTTTCAGGCATACTTTATTACCACAGCCTCTTGGGTTTTGCCAACAAAATGTCTTTTTGTGACCTCAATTATATGCTGCTGATTTCTTTAAGTCACGCTATTTCCACCTAAGCAGTGATCCAACTTGTTGGCATTGGATAGACCTTCAGGTTCATTGTTATGTGAATAGACACTTAAAACCACTACCACGTGGTAAAAGAAAGTAACTAAATTTAGGTTATTAAAGAAAACTCCTGCTGAATTCTTTGACCCTGAGCTCCAAAGAGCATAGTATAAATGCTGGGCAAACTATTTTTGTCCTCTGCTCTATAAATGAGTTCTGTTCTTTCTTCCATTGAGTACTGCTGGGCACAGCTGCTGTTTTTAGAGCCGAAAAAAAAAAAAAAAGATGGGAACTGAAAATAAAGAAACAAAACCTTGTCTGAAACACCTGAGCCTGTGACTCATGGCCTGCTTCCTGCACAGACTGTGTGTAGCTGCTAAGTAATTTATGAATGAGGGAGTGTAGATGAGGGATGACATCAACGAAAAGAACTAAGACTGATGGATTCTATTTCTAGTTCCAAACTGATGATGAAATGACTTCAGATAAGTAACTTAAACTTCTTTTGGGATCTCTATCTGTAAAATAGGAAGAAATTCATTTTTTTCTTGACAGTGATATAAAGACCTGCTTAGCTTCTCACCTTTGCAGACTTCTCATTTAAGGCTTGATTCTCTTCAGCTCCTCTTTCAATATTCAACCCTGTACAACAGCGATGGAATCCATGCTTTTCCTTGGGACAAAGGAACTCAGGACAATAATTCAAATGATTCAGCCTTAGTGCTGGTTCACTTGGAGTGTTGGCCCTGGTTGGGTTCTGGCTTCATTCTATGTCATCTATCCCTTTCCTATGACCTCGTTCTAGTAACTGGATCCCCAGATTGTTTTATTACATCTGAGCCTCTCCACTGGTTTTCGATCTGCTGTGCCACTTCCTCTGAGACTAAGGTTCTGCAGCTGATCCTCTTTGTCCCTCCTGTCATATTTCAGCCAGAGTATCCAGTCTAGGTAAGGTTCCAACACTTTTTGTTCATCTATGCCGCTACTTCTTGAAAGACAATCCTTGAAGACCATTCGTTAAAAAATTTTAAATTCAATATTGAGGAGACCCCCAAAATACTTGTAAACTATGTATAAAATATAAAAACTAATGATACAATGAACATCTGGAGTATCCCACCTGGTTACCACCACTACCACTACCAAAAAAAAAAAAAAAATTATTGTTATCCTTGAAGTCCTTGTCCCATTCCCTTTCCTCTCTACTCAGAGGAAACCACCCTGGCTGAATTAACTTGTGTTTATCTCTCTGTCTCTCTCCTGGAGTGCAGTGGTGCCATCTCAGCTCACTGCAAGCTCTGCCTCCCAGATTCATGGCCTTCCAGCCATTCTCCTGCTTCAGCATCCCCCGTAGCTGGGACAACAGGTGCCTGCCACCACGCCCTGCTAATTTTTTTGTATTTTTAGTAGAGACGGGGTTTCACTGTGTTAGCCAGGATGGTCTTGATCTCCTGACCTCGTGATCCACCCGCTTCAGCCTCCCAAAGCTGGGATTACAGGTGTGAGCCACTGCGCCCGGCCTCTCTCTGTCTTTTTTTAACTTTAGTTTTCCCAGATGGTATTTTCCTAAGTAACATATTATTTAATGTTGCATATTTTTGAACTTTATATAGATAAAATTATAGTGTATGTGTTATGATATTTCCTTTTTAGTTCAACATTATGTCTCTGAGATTCTCCATGTTTTTACATTTACCTATAATTTATTCATTGTCACAAGAAGGCAGTGTTTTCATTGTATGACTCTCACATAGTTTGTTACCTCTGCTATCTTTGATGAACATTTGGATTTTTCCTATTTTTGTTATGAAAACGAGTGCTATGAATATACACCTGTCTTCTAGAAGAAACACTTGCTGGTTGATAACAGTTTTCAAAGATGCTTGTCTCAATTTATGATCCCACCAGAAGGATAATTCCATATCCTTGCCAACGTTAGATTTTGTTAGGTTCTTCAACTTTTGTCAGTCTGGAAGTCATAATATAGTACCTAATGGTGTTTTGAATTTTTATTTTCTTGGCGATTAACAAAGCTGAGAATCTTACTTGTATTTTTTTTATCCTTTGGATTTTCTCTCCTCTGAAGAACTGTTTAAATTTTTTGTTTCAGTTTCCTATCAAGTAATTTGCTTTTTAAAATGATTTGCAGAAGTTCTTTGCTCAGTTACTATTCCTTTGTCAGTAACATATAGGGCAAGCATTTTTTTTTTCCAGTTTGTCTTTTATGTTTGTCTTGTTATATTTGTCTTGTTGTTTGTCTTGTTGTATTTGTCTTGTTGTATTTGTCTTGTTATATTTGTTTTGTTGTTTGTCTTTTTATATTTCATATCTTTTAGAGACCAAAAATCCTTAATTTTAATTTAGCTAATTTATCACTTTTAAAAAATGACTTGCATCTTTTGCATCTTAAGACAATTTTCCTGGCCCAGTGTGGTGGCTCCTACCTGTAATCCCAGAACTTTGGAAGACCAAGGTGGGAGGATTGCTTAAGGTCAGGAGTGAGACCAGCCTCAGCAACATAGTGAGATCCCATGTCTACCAAAAAAAAAAAAAAAAAAAAAAGAGACTTTTTCCTTCTCCTAATATTACAAATATGTTGTCCTATATTTTGACTGAAAGTTGTGTAGTTTTGCCTTTCATATTTATGTCTTTAATCTGTCTGGAATCTGTTTCTGTGCAAGAAGTTAAAAGGGGCTTTGATTTAATTTTTTCCACACCAATAACAATTGTCTAAGTAATGTTTATTTAAAGTCTATACTTTCCCACTGGTTTGCAATGCCAGCTCTGACATAAATCAAGTTTCAAGTCTGTTTCATTGATCTGTTTGCTTTTCCCTATAATAATTCTATAGTGTCATGAATGTAAACATTTTGTAAGAATTCTTGATATCTGGTAAAGCAAGTTTCACTAACTTGTTGTCTTAAAATGTCTTGGTTATCCTGGCTCCATGTTTTTCCATATATATTTTGGAAACTTCTTTTGACAAGTTACATATACACACATACATACAAATTCATTGCAACTTAGACTGCAAATACCTTTGATCTATACATGAATTTGCAGAGAACTGACTTGTTTTATATTGCTTCTTCCAATCCACGAACATGGTATATCTTGTATATCTCTCCATTTAATTAGGACTTATTTGAAGCCTTTTAATAATTAATATGTCTATCATAGTCTTATGCATATTTTGCTTAATTTGTTGCTAGGAATGCACACACACATTTGCTATGATTAATCATGATATGGGATTTTAATTGCGTGCACTTGAATTGTATTTGCATATTCTCAGCACACTTCATCATTTTCATTCCATGCTGTGATAAATCATTAATATTCTCATTTGTGATGTCTAGATCAGGTCTATTTTCCTGCCTTCCCTCCCACTTTAATTGGATAGTCTTTATTTTTCTTACTGGTTAATAGACATCACATTAAAAAATTACATTATGAATGTACATTTTTGTCATATATAAATATATAAATAAATATATTTACTGTCTCTATACATAGAGTAAATATCTTTTTCTACTAATGGCTTGCCATTTTACTTTTTATTTCTG